AGGACCTGTCTATTTTTAGCTGAGAGAGCTAGAGCTTTAAAACAAAGGGAAGAACAGCCATTTATGTCTGGCCAGCCATCACTTCAATGGGAAGGAGGCCATGTGTCCAGCAGGCTGCAAGTGGGTGCTTTTAAATGTTGCGTAGTCATTTTATAATCTGTGTATGATACTAGTATGATTATATCTATGCAAAAACATACAGGACCTGTCTATTTTTAGCTGAGAGAGCTAGAGCTTTAAAACAAAGGGAAGAACAGCCATTTATGTCTGGCCAGCCATCACTTCAATGGGAAGGAGGCCATGTGTCCAGCAGGCTGCAAGTGGGTGCTTTTAAATGTTGCGTAGTCATTTTATAATCTGTGTATGATACTAGTATGATTATATCTATGCAAAAACATACACCAGCATATTTTGGCTTTGGACACATATGCATTACTTCCATTGACCTGAACTCATCCACATGTACTCAACCCACCACCAGAACATGGATACAAAAGAACAAAGTTTCAATGCTCAATTTCCATTAAGTTCAACGCGGCACAGACGTTAATAATATTTTTTTTCTTTCTCTTTCTCTCACAAATGGACACAGGAAGGGCAGAGGTACAGCTCATCCTGAACAATACCAGCTTTGTATTTACATCACCCTCATACATAAGGCAGAGCTAGAAGTCTTAATTTTTATTAGTATGCCAAAATATTTACATATTGAATACCAAGTTGTTCATTCTTGAAGTACAAGTAGAAATAATATGTTATATTTAAAGGAAGATACTTTAAGAACAAGTTCTGTCAAGACTTAGATAGTTGAGATCTTTTGCACAGTAATCATAGGATTGCTTAGTAAATGCACAATACAAAGCAAACTTTGGAACTATTGTATCTGTCCAGAAAAAAACGGATGCATATTAATGCAAAAGCAGCATATGCTCCTACTGTATATTCTGGCTAGCAGCTGTCACATGTACAAACTACTTTGCTGGGTCAAAATAATATTTGCACAAATTTGTAGATCATGCCTCCTAATCATAAAAATGTCCCTCAGATGCTCCTGTCATAGAAGGCCTCATTTGCCCTCTAAATTTGGAGTGATGAAGCCTGACTTGGATCAAACACTTTCTCACGAAACACTTTCTAACCCATGTTCCTACTCCTGAATGAATCTCTGATTAGTTCATCTTGGTAGATTTTAGCGTATTGTGCTGCTTTAGTTTTGGTGATCTGTGTTGACTAATGACTGAGCGAGGGTAATATTTTTCTACAGCTAGAAAGGAACTGAGAAGAGAATCTACAAGTGGTTCCACTGGATATTCTATTCTTGTACATTTTTGAAAAATGAAGCCAACTCTCCATCCTCGGCTCAGAGCCCCCTTCTATACCTCAAACTCCTCATCCTTGGCTCTACCCCCAGCTCATAGTCCCCTTCTGTACCCCAAACTCCTCATCCCTGGCTCCACACCAGAGCCTGTACTCCAGCCCCTTGTAACATTCCAGAGCCCCTTTCTGCATTGGCAGCTGGTATGGTCAGTGGGGGAAGGCTCAAACCACTAATGTTGCCCTGTCCACACTCTGCCCCCACATCCTACTGTAGGCATACTGGGAGCAGAGTGTTGCTTCCCCCAGAACCGGCCTCTCTCTCTCTCTCTCTCTCTTTCTCTCTCTCTCTCTCACACACACACACACACACACAGAGGCTTTTGTGGGAGTAGAGCCTTGGCAGAAGGGTGGGGCTGGGAGCTTGCCTGCTCCAGCCAGGTGAAAATGAGTGAGTGAGGAAAGGGGATGGAATGAGTCGGAGCAGAGCCTTTGAGAAGGATCAGGGCAAAGGTGGGGCCTCAGAGAAGAGACAGGGCAGGGCAGGGCAAGGGTGTTTAGTTTTGTGCAATTAGAAAGTTGGCAATCTTAAAACCACAAACTTGCAATGTTATCTCCAGTCCAGTCAAACTAGTTTCACTAGTATTCTGAGTCTCCCCTCTTTTATTTGCTGTCTGTGGAATAGAAGTGAAGGCAGCCTCATCAGAGGCCCAGCTAAGATTTCCTTCCTCCATATTACAAGGGCCTGACCAAAGGTATTGCCTGGTATTTAGTGAGTCTTTGTGTTCTCAATCATCTTTCCCTCTCTCACTTAGGGGCCACAATACCCTAAAAAAAACCCAACCAGGCAAAATAATGTTTGCTTTCTTTCTGTTCCCAGCTGATGTACATTTGTATAAAAAGCCACAAAAAACTGAAAAGTGGCAACCTTCCTTGGGGGAAAAAAAAGGCAAGAAAATGAACTTGGTCAGAGAAAATTGGTTTAGAAACAGCAGACTGACAAAGAAATGAAATTCATGGCAGCCATCTCCTCTTCTCTCATCTTTTTCCAATGGTCTGAAACATCTTCCTTCAAAGATAGCATCTAATAATACTAGATATAACTGGAATTTGGAGTAAAGTAATATATGAATTTAATCAACAGAAAAGATAACCATCGAACTCCGGAAGCCAGTTACTTTATTTTACCCATTCTGTTTATAAACAACGCTCCGTCCTGTGGCACTTTAGAGACTAACAAATACAAAAGCTCATGATATAATATCTTTTAGTCTCTAAGGTGCCACAGGACAGCTCGTTGTTTTTAAAGTTAGGGACTAACAAGGCCTGGACCTCGCTATTTATGTTAACCTCTCTTTCATGCATTTGGTGAATATATCAACACATCCAGCTATCAAAGCAAATTGGTAATTTCTGGCAATTCTGTACATCATAAATCAAATGATTACAGCTCAGAAAATTCTATATATGACTCAAGCTTTTAATTCCAACCCACAAAGACATTTCTTCTGGCCCATGTAGCTGAAAAAGAAATAAAAGATTATTATAGGTAGAGAACTATGTAAAGTGTGGCAAAAGTCCCAACATTATTTAAGTATTTAAGCGGCTTATTTTCTGGAAAAACTGTCCAGTCTAGACACAGCCCATAGGTATATTTTGAGATTGCATAATCTCAAAAAGGTGATATACAGCTGTGATTGCATGATATCAGATGTGATTTTAATTGCTCCAAAGTTAAGTAATTACATCCTTTTTGTTTCACCATGCTGTTTGTATTCTATTCTACCTCAGAGCCATGTACTTCTCTGATTGTTTTTATGACCATGAATAGAACTATGAACTATTACGACCTAGACCTGTGGTTTTCAAACTTTTTTTCTCATGATGCAGTTGAAGAAAATTGTTGATGCCCATGACCCTACATAATTGGAGTGTGGGGTCCAGGAGAGGGCTGTGGTATAGGAGGGGGCTCCAGCTTTGAGGGGAGTCAGGGCTGGGGCAGGAGGGGCTTACCTCGAGTGGCTCCTGGCCAGCAGTACAGCAGGGGTGCTAAGGCAGGCTTCCTGACTCTCCTGGTACCACAGAACATGCAGTGCTCCAGAAGAAGCTAGAAGCAGGTTCTCAGCCAATGGGAATGCAAAGCTAGTGCACAGGGCAGGGGCAATGAATGGAGTCCTTTGCAGTCTTCTCCCCCCACCTAGGTGCCAGGCTTGTTGCCAGCCACTTCTGGTGCACAGTGATGATGAGCATACTTTGAGGGGAAGCACATTTTCAGGGGAAGGTTCTGGCACACTATGGAGGGGATGTGAGTGCTTCTCTCAGTGGACAAGAGCTTTTCAAATTTTCCTTTGGAAATGCCTGTTCCATATCATTGCAAGTTGGGGTTGGGATTCAGCAAATATTCTGGTCCCCTTACTGCTTAATTTGTGTCTTTAAATTATAAATGCCTCAGGACACTGACAATGCCCTGGACATTTACAGAATTGTATAAATTATTATTACCAACATTAATCTTCAACGAAGGATTTGCCCATACCAAGTTGGAGGTTGTAAACAGCAATGATTTCTACTGTAGCTCTGTTTTTGGATGTACATTTAGTTTTGTTTTTTAACAAGGAGAATGGTATTTACTTTCACACTCATAACTCAAACTACTGAAAAAGATTTGCTCAATTTAAACAAACAACAAAGCACATTTAGGCACACATCAGTCATGGATATGGACAAATTCAACCCCGAAAAGTGTCTTATTGTCGTGTGGTTTGATTTTTAGATCAATGGAAAACCAGGACACTCCAGAGACACTTAACCACTTACTTATTTATTACGAGCTTTACGGAGTTAGCATAGTTGTTTAAATTTTACAAGCCTTAAAAACAATTACTATACTGTACAATTGAAAGTATTTAAGGTTTAAAATGTAAAGCAATTAATACAGTGCAAAGCAATGCAAAAGCAATGTATAGAAGATTATTATACAGGCAGTCCCCGGGTTATATGGATCCGACTTACATCAGATCCCTACTTACAAACGGGGTGAGGCAACCCCGCACTAGCTGCTTCCCCCCAGCAGACCAGGGAGACGCAAAGCTAGCACCCCTCCCAGCAGACCAGGGAGATGTGGAGCGGCTTTTCTCAGCAGACACCTCAGCTTGAGAATAAAGGACTGAGGGAAGTGAGGTGTGGGAGAATAAAACTGAGCTCTGGAGAAATGTTTGGCTAGAGTTTCCCCTACAATATGTACCAGTTCCGACTTACATACAAATTCAACTTAAGAACAAACCTACAGTCCCTATCTTGTACGTAACCCGGGGACTGCCTGTAATACAATAATTAAGCCTAGTTCACTTACACTTCACCTGTATGCTACCTATAGTACCAAGCAGGAGGTCATGGTTCCTTTGGTTCCCACGCATAGGAACGCCATGCACTGGGGTTGCTGGTGTAAAGGGGTCCATTACTTCTACTTACATTAAGAGCAGGATCTGTGGGTCAGTCCTGCTCCCTCCCTCCCACTGATTATCTTTTCTAAGCCTATATTTATACTCAATTTGGTTGTTCTAGTAATATCTACAAATCAATTGCATATTGTATAAAATACTTATTATGCCAGTATTTGGGGTACATCCAGGATGTTGCAAGACTAAGTGCTTAATTAACAGTTCTATGGGTGTGTCTGAAATTTTTCACTTACCAAAAATGGGATATATCAGTACCAGGTTTCTCCCAATGTTCTTGGCATGATTTCCCAGTACTTTACAAGTTCCGCACGATTGTGCAAGCACTCCTGACTCTCAAAATCCCCCTCACATCTTGGCCTGGTCTATGTGCACCAGACTTAAATCAGGCCTGGGTTTGCTTTGTTAGAAATCTGCACTTTGGGCAAGACAGCCATCGTTAGTCCAGTCAAGGAAGGGCTGGACAATGCAGACATTATTCTACTGGTCAAGATGGGGTTGTCCAGGCTCCCCTAGTTATGAGCATGCAAGAAACAGGGATTTAAATGAAACAAAATCTGTCATTTTCTCTTTAGTGGGCAAAACCATACAGGTTTAATTGGACTACTCGGTGTAGAAAGTTAAAAGTATGCTTAAGTCTTTGCAGTTGTGCGGGGCTAATATTCTCTAGTGAACATCTAAAAACTGTTAAAACTTAAACAGTAACTTTTAAGAAGGGCTTCTTATAGGGGAGGGGAGCAAAAGGGGAAGAGGCAAACCTAACCAAGCAAATGTTGTCTCAAGGACATTTTACGTGCATGCAGCAACACATGACATATAGCTTTTCATAGCAGCTAGCTGGTGTTCTTTATGGTTGTGTATACACACAACACATAAGTACTTTCTATTTTAAAGTTGCACTGTTTACATTCATCCTCTTACCATTTTTTTCCATTAAAAATATTTGTTTTCTGTTTAACTCCTTGCCTGTTTTTAAGTATATGAAGCACCCCTGTTGCAGAGGCAAGAATATTATCCACCCTTTGCCAGTGGAGAAACTGAGGCAGCAGCCATCCCTACTTGCCCCGTCTGCCTAGTCTCGCACCCAGCCCCTTTCTCGCCCCTCCCCATGTGTTTGTGGACTAGCTTTCCCTTTGGAGAAGCGGGCGAGAGGGGGATCAGTGGGGTGCAAAAGCCCAGCCATGGGCTGGTCAGTTGCAGAGGCAAGAATATTATCCACCCTTTGCCAGTGGAGAAACTGAGGCAGCAGCCATCCCTACTTGCCCCGTCTGCCTAGTCTCGCACCCAGCCCCTTTCTCGCCCCTCCCCATGTGTTTGTGGACTAGCTTTCCCTTTGGAGAAGCGGGCGAGAGGGGGATCAGTGGGGTGCAAAAGCCCAGCCATGGGCTGGTCAGAACGTGAGCGCGGGGGGGGGCGCCGGCCCCTCCCCCCCCCTTAGGGCGGGCCTCGGGGACCTGAGTGGGCGACTCCTACGTCAGTCAACGGGCCGGGCACGTCCCCCGAGGGGTTACACTGCCTCCTGCCAGGGCTGCTGAGGTCGGCTCGGGAAGGGGGCTGCAGCGCTGTGAGGCGGCGGCAGAGCCATGCGGGTAGGAGCGCGCCCCGGGATGCTGCTGCCGGGAAGGGTGGCTCTGCGCTCGGGCAGCCCGGCTTGAGGGGGCCGGCCGGCTTGAGCCCGGCGTCTGGCGGGGGCACAAGGTGGCGCTGAGTCCCCCGAGCCCGCGGGCCGTGGCCAGCGGGGCCCCCGGGTCACACGGCGCCTGTTTGCTTGCAGGAGGCGGGCAGCCTGTGCCTGGCGCTGCTCTTCCCCGCCGTGCTGGCGCTGGACTTCGGCTACCACCACAGCGAGGCGCTGGGCGCGTTCCTGCAGGAGGTGCACCAGCGGCACCCCTCCATCACCGCCCTGCGCAGCGTCGGGCGCTCCGTGGCAGGGAGGCAGCCCAGAGGAGAAGTCACAGTGCGTCTACACATGCTCCCTCTGGTGTCATTCGTTCACCTCTGAGGAAGGGCGAGAGGGGACCGTGTCCGAGCAAACCGCACCTTGGCTTGTGACTTCTAGCCAAACCCCACTTCATGCTGAGCCCAGTGCTCTTTGCCTGGGAGCAGCTGCTCTGCTCGGGTGTTTGCTGGGGAGCTAGCCGTGGTCTGCTTCAGTCTCTCTGATGTGTGTGTTTACATTTCCCATCTCAAACGGTAAAGGAACACCCCTTGTCAATGCAACATGTCCCATAGTGTGTGTTCAGCCAACCTCTCCTCTGATGGACTGCCCTGAAGTTAGACGTTTCCTGGCTACCACTTCAACAATTGAGCTGAATCCAGTGTTTTTAAAATGGGTCTAGGTAAGATGTCCAAACTGTTGAATGTCTAAGCCAGTCAGGGCTACAGCCCTGAAACTGTAATGTGCATTTTGTAACTTATGGATAACTTCCAAAGATATATGTTCTTCTGGGATTCACCCACTAGTCTAACAAATACAAGACTGACTGTAAAATAGTATTACCTGCTAAAATCAATACTATAGCATTTCTCATTTAACAGGCGCTCTCAAACTCCTTGGGGAAAATATAGCTAGTTACAGCTTGAGGTTTCTGCCTTTATTTAGCTTGTTTTGTATTTTAGATTTCAACACTTTTTCTAAGATATACATAGATGTGCCTAGGCTTTTTGTTTAAAGACATTTTGAAACTCAGTTTTAATAAGGACTGAGAACACGGACATTTATACACATCTTCTCAAGCGTAATGAAAAGAAATGTATGTACTGTACTTTTTACTTCATCAAGGAATAGTGAAATTACTCTTAAGTAATGTACTCTTAAGATGAGGAATTAGATTTTTGAGAAACATCTGTTCACATAATCCTGATTAATCTGTTTTTGCTTAAGCAAGAGCTCTTGTAATAATGATCAGATCTATGTTCTAGATAAAGTGTCATCACTATAGGCAGATTAACATGAACAACTGTAGTAGCTAGAGCTGCTCTTTTATGTAGGGTAAAAAGTAAAGATAAATGTATGACTTCACATTTTGTGACTAGAACCGTACTTGTCTGAAGGAGAATTTGATTTTTAAAGTAGTGGGGCTCTTCTGTTTTGGCTAGATATCAATCATCCTTGGTATTAACTGTGAAAGCAGCTGCCAGACCACTATCTCCCTCTGGATTTAAATAACCAGTCTTCAAGTAATGAAGAGGGATCAAACTAAACAGAGAATCAAAGAATTCAGAGATGGACGAATTCTAATAGGTCTTCTAGACGATCTACTTCAACAGAAGTTTGTTTCCAAATATTAATGATAATTAATACTGACATTTAAATATCTTCTTGAGGGAGCTTAACTGTTAAATATAGGGCCTATTTCACTGCCATTTGTGGACCCCACTGGCTTCTGTATGTAAAAACTAAAGCTGAATTTGGACCCTTACAGAAGGCTAAACTTTTCTAGTTGAAGTGCTTAAAATATGGTCCCTAAATTAATATGTAGGTACATGAAAAATATGATCCCTTTATTTAGAAGGGCTGAGTACCCACAACTCCTACTGATTAAAACCCAAAACTAGAAATGCCCTTATCCTTTGTCAGTGAGCAAAGCCATACCAAAGATTTTGGCATCCGTTTTTCTTGCTTTGCTTTTGCACAGGGGAGAGGTGGAAGCTGTGTTCTCAGGAGCACCACTTTGTTCTGCCTATTGAACTTGCATCATGCAAAATGAAAAGAGAAACCCTTTGCTCCCTGCACTTCCAAAGCACTTTAAGCAGAGTAGTGAATGGAGTAGCTGGGCACTGAACAATTTATCAATACCACATAAAGAAGGGTGAGATGGAAAAATGAAGCTGAGAAAGGAACCTTGCAGAAGACCAGCAGTGTTTCATTTTTCATCAACCACGAGTATTTGGTTGAGTGTATGAGGCGGGTGAGGAGGAGGAGTATCTGGGATTTGGAGGAGAGAGAGCAAGAAGGTTCCTCCTTTTTCAGCATCCAGCAGAGGATCTTCTCCCATCCCACTCCCACTAATGACAATTAGACATCCTCCCACATGACTGCAAATAGTTTACTGGCTTCCAGAATGCGGAAGCTAAAGATTACTTTACCCCTTCACGATGTCACTGGATCACCAAATAACACCTGGTACACTGTTCTCAGGCTTCTGTTAAAGCAGCCCTATCAAAGGAGATGGGACATATATATACTTTTAAAGTTTATCACCCTTTATATACTCAACAGGATTCTGGGGACAGCTAAAAATAAGTATCAATTTTCTTCCCCAACTGAAGAAAACAGTCAAGAGATAATTATAACACATTAAGGTCCATGAAAGACTAAAAAATTAGTTTATTATGAAAACACTAGCCCCGAGCAGTAGATACACTAAAATTAAAAGAACAGTATTACATATATACCATCTGCATCTCACCACTTGAGCTAGTGAGATTTCACATACTTGCTGAAATATAATCTGTGTTGGCGAGAAACTGGGAATGAATGACTTGGGTTGGATCTCTGGATTGCCTTTTTTGTTCATTTTCTCTGAAGCACTTGTCATTGACCAGTGTTGGAAGACAGGAACTGGGCTGAGTGGATCATTACTCTGATCCTGTTGGGCTGTTCTTATGATTAATAGAGCCCTGCACAGATACAAAAATGTGAAGCAGCTGCCAATCAACGTCTACCAGAATCAATGTGCATCCGACCCACTGTTTGCTAGGTGTCTTTTATGTGTATCCACACCTGCACCCTCAGTAGCAAGACATCTCATGAGTGCTAGCGAGGAAGGGATCGAAGGGGAGAAATGAGTGTTATGATTTTTTTTAAAGAGAAGAGATTGCACGAGGGTGAGGTTTTGGGTTAATGGAGATACAGGAGCAGGACCTCAAGGAGAAGGGGCAAGGGCTGGGGGAAGGGGTGCCAATTGTATGCTACTCTCAGGGGCTCATGAGCAAAGGTAGCGGCAGTGTGTGTTGCATCTCTGCAGGACAGAAGGGCTCCAGTCCCGGTGGCCAAGGGTGGATTCTGCTGTTCAGGAGCCAGCAGTTTGGGAGGCAACTGCATCCAATCTCCTGTCTGCAAAAATGGTCTATGGATATGAAGTGTCTATTTCTGCAGATTTGAAGGGCTCTACTAAAAAGTCTATCTAAACATATGGTTCTGTACAATGTATGCTAAGACCTTATACCAATCTGGTAAAAAAAAAAAATAGGAAAACAAGATGAACTAATACGGGGAGGGAAAAAAGGGAATAATTTTCATGCTGTCATTCAAATACAGGGCTAGAATTTTAACATCTTTCAAAAGTACAATGACTTCATTAGTCACTGTTAATTCTATCCTCTTCTGTGCAAAATCTGTCCTGGTTTACATTTCCTTCAATACAGTTTAAGTCAGTAGATTTGCATGAAATTTAAGTTAGTTGAGAATTTGGTGTTTATGCTATGATTTTTAGATCAGCATGTGTCATTTTGTATTTTATAAATTAGGTTTAAGGGTGTAACCATTATTTATTATTAATTATTATTATTATTACCTTATTTTAATATTTATATATGCAAAGGGACAGAATGAGGACCTGGCTTTTGGAATGCTGACCTGAAAATCAGGTTTTAAGATTACTATCAAAGATGTCTGTGTAAAAGTGACAGTTTCCTAATTTTTAATTGCTCTATGGGCATTTTTTTTCTATGTTTACAATACAATTAGTGGGAACTGGTTTAACAGAGGGGAAGCTTTAACCCATTATCTTTGTTGTCTGTTTACGCTGAATAAAACAGATTCTTCTTCCATACTTAGCACTGTTTCGCTTTGGAAAAGAGAGCTAAGTTCTATTCTGTCTCTAAGATCAACAAAATTATTTTCTGAATTGTGATTGCAGAATTTTTTTACTGGTGATGAGAAAGTAACAATCTCTGTTCTAAGTCCAAAATTGATTTTTGCAGTACATGTATTTGGAAAAGTTCCATCTGACAATCTGAAAAATTATATGGTCATCGGCATCGTTAATAAATACAAAACTTCCAGTGGAATTTTTAAGGTGATATATTCTACTAACTGCTATTTATTTATTAAATAGTTACATAGTTTATTTCTATAAACATAGCTCTTATGCCATTTTTCTGCTGCAATGCATTAACGTTCTTATATGATCTTTACATGACTGAGAGAAGGAAGCCAAGGTTATAGCTATTATCAATGTTCCTTCTAATCATTTTCATGCATGTGTGTATTTTCCAACCATGTGTGGAATAACTTTTTTGTGTGTACCACTTGTAGAAACAGAAAATCTAATCGTGGGTGCTCTGCTAATCAGCTTGGTGTCATTTAAATTTATCCCGAGTGGCTGCACAAGCACACAGCATACAGGGAACACTAACTATTATCCTAGGATTATTTACTGCATCTTTGATTGGGATTATGAAGAATATTTAAGTGTAATTAAGGCACCTCTCTTGAACAGAGTATTGACCAGCTCATGAAAGTTCCACTCTGTAGTGAATTCCACATGATGCAAGGGTCCATACTCACTGAGCTCATCAAACGGTTGGAGTCATAGTGACTAAACAAGCGATGTGTCTTCTTTGTAGGGACTGGTTAGTAAGGTTAGACATTATACTTCTTTAAAACAGGAATATGTATAAAACAGTAATATCACATTTCATACACATAATATGGCCAAAGTAGATATTGTATCTTAAACTTACAAAATGTACTTCTAAGCACATGCATAAAAAACTTTCCATGCTAAAGAAATCAAGAAAATGATCCAATATTAAGGACTTTGGCAAATTAAAGAAATCAATGAAATTTTCATTCCTTCCCTCTGCAAGCAGAGCAGACTCAATGTGTTTCTGGAACATTAACAGTGCTTTTGCAGTGGTGTAGCTGTGTTGGTCCCAGCTATGAAACAAAGTTGGTGGAGTAATATCTTTTATTGGACCAACTTCTGTGGGTTGAAGGTACAAGCTTTTGAGCAACACAGAGCTATTCTTCAGCTTATACCTCCCACCAAAAAAGTTGGTCCAGTAGAAGATACTTCCTCATTTACCCTGTCCCTAACAGCAAATCTGAGAGGCTAGTGAGAAGAATTCTAGTTTGAGAAATGTCTGAGGACTGGAAACATTAAATCTGAGGGTTGTGCATTTTAGCTGATAACCTGTCAATATGAAACAAGGGGAGATGGGATTTAATGAAGATGTACGTAGCAGAAATACCAACATTAATTCCATCTAGATGTAAACTAAAAGCCAGCAGAGACCACAGTACACAAATATCATCCAAGGAACTCTTATAAAGGAGAGGCAGTCATATTCAGTACAATCTGCAACTTTAGTGTGGTCTTCAAGTATAGCT